CCCAAATTGGTCTGGGCCCGAGGTGGGCTTAATAGCCGGCGACTACTGTATTTGGTGTTTGAGCATTAAACTAGACAGCTATAAGCGTTGCTAGAGGGGTCTCAAGTTCTCGCGGATTTCAGAAATTCACGAATAGCTCTGGCCCCTAACCCCGCGAATACCGGGAGTTGACTGTATTGCAATTCCTGTTACCGTGTCCGCGAGGACGGACGTTTTCAGCAGACAAGTAGTATGCGAGTTATGCTTTAGGTTGATTGTTTAAGGTGTATTTGGTGTTGGAATATTAAATTAGACAGTTATAAGCGTTGTTAAAAGGGTATCAAGTTCTCGTGATTACAGCTATTAGCGGGTAGCTGTGGTCCCTAACTCCGCACGGCCGCTCTTACAGCTCTGATCCAGATAGTGGCGGCTGCCCGAGGGCTACTTCAACACGCTACGCCTCAGTGGACGCAGCATGGGCCACTATACTCGCCACTTCCCTTCCCCACCGCCTATCTCACACAAGCAGTGCATGCCGACTTCACTGCCTCTGCTGGTAGACACTATGTGTCACTCGGCCTACCCTCCGCGCAACAAGCAAACCATGCACTGAATCATTCAATCCCCGACTAGCTTATTTACAACTGAAAAACCAATTTACAAGCATCCCCGTGTACGCGTCAACAGCCGCTAGTAACCAGCGCGATAAATAAACTATCCATGCAGAGCCTTATGCTTTGGTCGAAAGATTTCCTCGCTGTTGCCGAGGGCCGGGAGACTGGACTGAACCGAGCAAAACTTGAAACAGTGACCTGATTGGTCACCTTTGACTTGGTCCATGCTGTGGCAGTAATTAGAGATTGTTAAATCTTGCTGACTAAAGACAACTATTTGTCTGTTCAAAATCCACCGGTACGCAAAATTCCCAAGCGATCGCATTTTACGCCTATTCGCGGATTTTTCAGTAGGGCATGTCTCAACTGTTCGCGAATAAGTTTCATTTATTTTCCCGAGTGAATGCATTTTTATAATGAAAACTAATTCACGAATTTTCCAATGAAACTTGCGTGTTTGAATATAGAGATACCTTAATTCGTTTTTTCCCTGATAGGAGTAGGTCTGGGATATATGTTTACGATGACTTAAAAATAACATCCAAGTGTTTTAAGATGATAGCTTAAAGTGTATTTGGTGTTTGAAGATTACGTTAGACAGATATAACTGTTGTAAGAGGGGTCTAAAGGGTTCACGTATTTCAGGTATTTACGGGTAGCTGTAGTCCCTAACCTC